CTATACATGGTGGATATGGTGGAAGACCAAGGACCTTGGTCCAAAGTAGAATAATTCCCATTATTATTTTCATAATCACCAACATTTATTTTTGTTTGTGCATACCCTAACGGGCATAAGCATTCAGCGAATCTTTGGATAGCTAAGTAAGAACATTAATATATTATAGTAGTAACTAATCCCTCGGCTTTCATTTTTTCGAAAGTTGGGAAATTTTGCTGGTGGGGTTGGTAAAATTTGGATTCGCTCCCCCCCCTTGTTTTTCTTTTCGCTACGGCCCTGATTCTGTGCGTAGGGAATTAGAAGGGGGGGTTGAGTAAACTCAAAAAGATCAGCTAGTTATTGCAATATATCAATAATGATCTTGAATTATAAATATCAATAATGAATGTTTCAATATAAATTCCACCATAATTATAAAATTGATTGAATAATTAATTTTTTCATGCTCCCGTTAATAACAAATAAAAAAACATTCGTGCCCTACTCGTTATTAACTGATTTAGAAATACAATTTTGTCAGTCTTTATGAAATTTATTCTTCAAGTGCATGAAATTGAAATTAGTTAATAAATAATTTAAAAATATTATTTGCTATGAAAATTGTGTATATTTTAATCTACATTTACTGACTCTTGAGACAGACCAATATACTAATAATAATATGTTTATTTATCAGCAATAGAGAGAGTTTCCAATACATCATATGCAATTTCAGATAGAATGCAAAAAAAGAAAAACAATCAATTAAATGGAATGTCCTAGATATGGGTAATAAACATCGAGGGAACCCATTAAAACCCTAAGGTTGTGCATGGGAATTCTTTACTTATTGTGTTACCAAATAATCTTCGAACAGTATTTTGGTGTGAATATTTCCAATATTTACAATATTCTGGACCTGAAAAAAAGTAAATGACAATGAGAGGAGAATCGACAATCCAGTTCATTTCTATAGCGATGAAAGTAGGGAAATTTGGATAAGTTATTTGTTATCAATTATATTTAATATGATTTCATGATCTACATTGAGGAGATACTTTTTGAATATATTTTTTATTAGTGGTATCGAGTTGACTTTCATTAGCTTATTTTTATGCATATCGTCT